GGTTTTGGATTCAGTCTTTGAATGTATTAAAATGCCCGTGATTATTTACATGACCATTGTCTACTTTCTTTGTAACTGTTCGTGAGAACAGATGTAATTTATGTCTCTTGTCTCTGTGTCTCCTTCAGTTTGGGATTTGTCTCAGATTTTTCATTTTTATCAATAGTTGTGTTAAAATAGGAGAGACTTAAGTTTGTAACCTCCCCATTGTACTTCTCCTCACTGCTGTGGTTTTGTCTAATGACATGTAAGAGACAAGTTCAATGAAGAGAGATTTCATTTCTTATGTATGTGAGACATTCAAAGCAAAAAGACCTTGTTTTTCCAGACTTTTTTTTTCTCCAGACTTGCATTTCCAGATGCAACATAATTTCTGTCTTTTAGAGCAGTATGCAGAATGTGTGCTGGTAAAATGCAGTGTGCTCTGACAGGGCAAGGAGAAAAAAACTAAATTCTTCAGTTTTTCAGTGATGGTAAGATACATGTTGAAGTGTTTCATCTGCTGGCCATGCTGGCAGCTTGTATGGTTGTGCCATGGCCTGTGCAAAGCATGAAGCTCTCAGTTGTCAGTGGAGAGAGGCAGAGGAAAACATGGGAAGTTTGAGATTGGTTGTAGATAAAATATGTGCGAGAGACAGTTTTGCCATAGATCATTAGAGAGTGGTCAGAACACTCTCACTTCGGTACTTTTGTCATTTATTGTACTGTGTAAATCTAAAGCCTATTTATTTTATTATTGGGCAGTTCTTTCTTTATCTTATTATAAACCCAGCAGCAATCAGTTCTTAAAACTGGAAGTGTATACTTAATGAAGAATGAAGTACTGACTTTCTTTCTCAGTATTCACTGTGCACAAAATGTTTGTCAGTGTTTACCATCCACTATGAGAAGTTGTGACCACACAACAACCAGAAGGTAAAATGAACTGAAAAATCAGCATCTATTTAAAAAGTTGAGTTGTTGAGCTGTAGGGATGAGCACATGTAACCATGTAAATGCTGAATCACTAAATTTTACTCCTGAAATCATTATTATACTATATGTTAACTAACTTGGATTTTAAATACAATTTGAAAATTTTTAAAAAGATGTTAAGAGTTATTTTAAGAAGGTTATATCTCCAGATGACAAATACGTACAGGTACAGAAGATGTTTACATAGCTCTTGATATAAGGTCTCATTTAGATAACTTTTAAAAAATTAACTTCCTTTGTTTTTTTATTCCAAGTTCTTTGTACATATGAAAAAGGAAGCAGTAGCTATTAATGTATTGGCTCCAGTAGCAGAACAAGGACCTAAACAATGCTAGTTTCCAAATAGAAAATCAATTAATTCCATTACCAGATTGATTTTTTTTTCACTTTTGTATGTTTGTTCTATCAGTGCTATAAATGGAATCAAACTAAAGCTTTTAGAAGTTGATTCTGTCAAAAATGCTATAAATGCTGTTGTAAATTTAGCACTTACAGTAAAAGGTCAACATGGAAGATAAAAATTACTTATTTTTGCTAAAAATGTTGTGATGGTAAAAATCAATGTCTTATTAAATGAAGAAAACTATGGAAGAGAAATATTTTGAGAATTGGTTGTGGTGCATGAAAACCATCTGTGCTTCTTCTACATATTGAAATAAAAATGTAATTTGATACTGATATTGAGACGTATAGTTTAATTGGACTATAGAATTCTTGTAATAAAGCCAATATATAAAAACATACTTCAGAATAACAGGACACACTCTTGTTCACAGCTTTTTTGCTGCATGTTACTAAATGGATTCTAGAAACATGATTTTGTGAAAAACTGCTTTTAAATTAACCTGTGTCCTATGTTGGCTCTTTTTTTTTTTTTTTTTTAACCAAGGGGAGGGTATCAGAGTAAACAAAACTAATGTTTGTTAGAGTTTGATTTGAAATCCATTTAAAATCTTTAAAATATTTACCAAATTGATTGTCAAAAACCTTCAGCTTATGAAAATTTTACCAAATGGCAGTTTTTGGATGCCAGTCTTGCAAGCAGGAGGTTATTGAAGTTTAGCCCTTCACAGTAAGTGATAAAACCTTAAGATTTATTTTAGAAGTTCTGTCATTTGCAGTATTTCACCTATTGTGAAAACTTTTTTTGGTGGAACTCCCAACTTTGTGTTGGAGTGAAATGAAATTAAAAAGTTAATTGTTTTTGCATTTTTTAAATTTGGTGAAATATTTTAAAAAGTATAAAGAGAGGATTACTTAAGGGTTTTTTTTTTTTTGTTAAGTTTAGAGACAGAAAGCAGAACAGGGGAAAGAGAGAATCTTTTATTTTTAATGTTTATTTATTTATTTATTGGGGTGAGGGGATGTTTGTGAGCAGGAGAGGGGCAGAGAAAAGGAGAGAGAGAATCCCAAGCAGGCCCTGCATGGTCTGGAAAGAGCCCAGCATGGAGCTCAATCTCAGGACTGTGAGACCTAGACCTGAGCCAAAATCAAGAATTGGCTGTTCAATCAACTGAGCCACTTATGCACCTGAGAATTATTTAAAAGTTTTGTCTCATAAAAATAGTTATCAAAAAAAGTTTCGTTGAATGGAGGGGTAAAAGTTAAGTATCAGGCTTGACATATTTACAGATTTCAACATGAAGAAAGCAAGCATGATGAGAATATCCTTCTTTCAACAGGATTTTCTTTATGCTAACCAGATTGTCTAATGTAAAGAGGGTGTTTTCTTCATTACAAATATTATGGTCTATAGAGAAGAGTAAGTTGAAAATGTCAACTATTTCATAATTATTGATGATAAAATTTAATTTTGAAAAGAATTTTATGAGATAATCTTACTTTTTTAAAAAAGTTCAAAATAAAACCATATAAAAATATGTTCTTCAGAGAAATGTCAATGACTTAGTATTAGAGGTGGATACACCTTAGAAACTGATTAAAGTATATGAATGTATGGTGAATAGTTACTCAGTGTTTTTAATGCATCACAGATAGGTTTTTTTCTTTTAGAAAATTTTAGTTTTGAAAAAATGAATTGTCTTGAAAATGGATTTTTTTTAAGTATTTTTTTAATGTTTATGTTTGAAGGAGAGAGAGAGAGTACGAGAAGGGCAGTGAAAGAGGGAAACACAGAAATCGAAGCAGGCTCCAGCCTCTGAGCTGTCAACACAGAATGCCATGCAGGGCTCAAACTCATGAGCTGTAAGATCATGACCGGAGCCGAAGTGGGACACTTAACCAACTGAGCCGCCCAGGTGCCCCGAAAATGCATTTTTAATAGAACTATTTTATAAGGCCGCCAGTGTAATAAAACAAGTTTTGTAGTCAATAAATGGATACTTTAAAAATTACAAAATTTTGATTTCTAAAAATTCCCTGTCAGTAGTGTCCGTTAATATATTGAGATCAGAGATGTGTCACTCCAGTAGCTCACAGAAATCAATCACTAGGTTGTACACATGAAACTCATGTAACCCTGTTATCTATACTGGAATTAAAAAATTTTAAATCATTGCAATTAACAGACATTTTTTTTCCCTCTATTTTAATTACATATTCTAAATCTCAACACCCAGATGGACTTGAGAGTTAACCTAGTTGTAAATTCTCACCGTGCATTTCAGATAACTAAAGGTTAGTGTATTTGCCAGGCTGTTTCAGAAAGTTAATAACACAGTCCAGGATACCACACTTTTTTTGAGCTGTATTCCTCATTTGGTGAGTATTTTGCTAATTTTCTTTAAAAATGAATTTTTCTCATTTTTAGTTGAGCCACCGTGGTCTACTAATTAGTGAATAGAAATTATTGGTAACCATATTCATAATAACTCTATTAACATTTTTCACTTGTATTTATAGTTCTACTTTTTTGAAACTAGGTTAATGCTTTTTAAATACATTGTTACTGCAAGAAGGTTGTTTTCTATTCAAATCAATTATCTTAACCAATTATTATTGTAAAAGAGTTTACCATTTCTATACTTTCACTTTTTGTTCTTGAATTGTCTTTAGCGCTGCCTGACTTGATTTTATTTTTTACCCTTTATTAATGTCTATAAAATGTTCTAATGTAGATGTTTATTTTTTCCATATATTATGAATCCTGTTTAATTTATAGTTAGAATTGTATTTGTGTAACCTAAATTAAAACTCTGCTTTTTCAGTAAAGTAACTGGAGTTTAAAATACAAGCCTGTGTTGATAGCCTTTCGAATTTGGTTTAATTACTATTAAAATTATCTCAATACATGTTAATGTAGTACATTCAAAGATTGACTTAGGAAATCTTATTACAGTGTAAAAGCTACTGTAATAAGTTGCTGCCTTACATAAATAAATGACCAATATTACTAGAGGCTATAAGCAGCATGGGAAAGAAATGGAAGGAGTCTTTTATCCTAGTTTTTAGAGGGCATCAGCAGCTTGCTTTTATGAAAAAGTAACAGCTAAATGCACTGCAAATAATTTGCAGTAATCCAGTTCAGTGATTCATGTGTCTGCTTTAATGGGTCATAATTCAAGGTAAAGTAACTGAGTGAAGTCAGAGTGCAGACACTGCTTATGCCAGGGACAGTATCTCTTCATAAAACACACCTCAGGAGAAGCAGTTTGCCAGCCCCCTAATACTCTCTGATGTTTTGATGTCCTGCATATTTTTCCGATTAAGTTTTGAGTGCCATGTTTTTAGTTGTATTTCCACATTCATTATTCTCACGTAGACCCTTCAGCGGGTTTGCCATATATGATTATTTTTTTAATGATGCCTTTCTTTCCACTTCAGCAGTTTAATAATCTAGCACATGGCTGCTTCTCAGTACTCAGCATTCACCTCCCCAATACTGACGAGGACATGTGCTTTGGCTTCAAAATTCCATTTGCAGCGTTAGAAATGCATATTCCCTACGGAACAACATTTGTTTGACATAACCATTCATTTTTATTACCTCTTTAAATATGTTTATCCAGAGTTATCAATAATCATAAATAACTGTATTCTCATCTTGTTCTGTTTTTTTCCAACAGACAAAATTGCTTACCCAGTACATATTAAATCTCGGCAAGTATGATCAAAACTACGACATCAGAGACCGTACAAGATTTATTAGGCAGCTTATTGTTCCGAATGAGAAGAGTGGAGCTTTAAGTAAATATGCCAAAAAAATATTCCTAGCGCAAAAACCTGCACCACTCCTTGAATCTCCTTTTAAAGGTATTATTATCAGAATAACTGCAAAATATATGTTACTTAAAAAATTGTGACAATATGTCCCATTTCTAATACATTTAAAATTTAGCTCTTAGAAAATATAAGTGATTAACATGCATAAATGTATAAGAAAAGTATGCTTTCTACTCATCTGTTCTCCGGAGCAACCTTTATACTAAAGTTTATATTTTTGTAGACCTTATTTACCTAAATAATTTCAGTCTTCTGATTTTATTTTTATTCTTACAAAGTCATTCAACCAAACAATAGATTAAAGCTCTGTTCTTATTGCCATTGCCTTCATTTCTATTTTAAATGGCCTTATTTAATAAGGAATATAATTTACCGTAGTAGTGAGTTGTTACTAATTAAATATTCTGTGTACACTAACATATTTTTTCTAGGAAGAATTATTGCATAAAAATATCCCTTTAAATTTGTTTTTCAAAGATGGAAGTTGACTTATTTTTCCCAGCTTTTTAAAAAGGAGTAATTTTATCAATTTAACAAGTAGCTACTAGAGTTAGAATCAAATGATTGTATATGTTGGTTTTCCTGTTGTTTCTTATTTAATTGTTGGTGATAAAAAGCAGTTCAGTATTGTAGAAAAACTATTAACATTCTGAATGTGTTTGTGCTAAGACATGTATATGGATTGTTTAACTGTGCTGTCATTCTTAATATTCACAGTAAAGTAATTTTTAGAGAAGCTACATTTCAGAGCAACACCTCTAAACACACTGACTGATTAGCTTTTTTATTGACCATTATGGGGGAGATTATTGTAATCTATGGACTGAAATCAGTTTTCTGACCTATGAAGAGCTTCCTAGTTTATATTTATTCCTTGACATTTGAGGTAATATGCCAATTACCTTGAGCTCTGATTAGGATTGTTCTCTGTTATATACAGCTCATATTGTTTACTTTATATTTTCCTCTATTTTAATAGATAGGGATCATTTCCAGCTTGGCACTTTATCTCATACTCTCAACGCTAAAGCTGCTGGGTATCTGGAATTATCTAATTGGCCAGAGGTGGCGCCGGACCCATCAGTTCGAAATGTAGAAGTAATAGAGTTGGTAAGTTGACCTTTCTGAAATTAATTTTGTCAAGCAGTGGGAGATTCTAGAATAACTATTGTTTTATATAAAAGCTTTTTTGGGGGGTTGAAAATTGAAAATTGTTCTGGTATTTCTAAATGTAATGTATTAGATATATCTTGCTGTTATGGGAACTGAATATTGTAGTATTCCTATGTCATTGTACATGTACTGTTCCTTTTCTTCAAGGAAATAGAGAATTGAATTCTCTGCATCAGTGCCACCCACATTTTTGGTATTGCATTTGTAGCTGTGTAGATTCAATTTCTAAGGTATTTAGTGTCATTGGATTGAGCTTTTTCTACTTTGTTTAGAGATTTGTAAGCTTCCAGTCAATATTTTTCTGAATAATTTTTGCTGTCCTCTGGCAAAAAAACACACAAAGTTTTCTGGATTTTCTGATGAGCCTGTTTTAAGTGAGGCCTAACCATAAACAGATTGCATTGTGTACAAAAGATGTCCTTAGACAAGGTCATAACTAAAATGAGTAATATGTTGCTTTCACTTTAAAAAAAAGATTTGTAAATAAAGACTCTTTTCCTAGATCTTTATAAAAATACTGACTCCAAAAATGAAAGAATTAATGTCCTTGCTAATATTATATTTTTCTTATATGAACAAGAAAAATAAAGAGGTCTTCTGATGTATTTAGAAATTGATCATGTGAAATAAATATATCCAATATTTTTTTAAGTAGAATTAATAAAAAAGAACAATTAGCTATTACATTCTGAGTGCTTTTCTGATAGGAAAGATGTAATAAACTAGGATTCAGATAACCAGAGTTCTTTACCACTGAATCCTATGAGAAAGTCCATTAGCCTCCCTGCCTATTAAATTTTCCACATACGATGGAAGCAGATCTTTATTACTTTATTTTTTTAAGCTTATTTATTTATTTTGAAAGCAATAGCATGCAAGCAGGGGAGGGGCAAAGAGAGAGGGAGAGAGAGAATCTGAAGCAGGCTCCACACTTTCAGTTAGGAGCCCAACGTGGAGCTCTGTCTCACAACTGTGAGATCATAAGCTGAGCCAAAATCAGGAGTTGGATACTTAACCCACTGAGCCACCCAGGTGCCCCTTTATTACTTTAAATAGAAGAATTTCTATTATATAGAAGAATTTACTTTATTATTACTTTAAATAGCAGAATTTCCATAAGGTCATGCTGTTACTTCCTACACTTCATTATGTGACATGGAGAAACCTTGAGCTTGTTTGCAAATCTGTGCTATTCTTAGTACTTAGCACAGTCATTTTTATGTTGTGACAAATTATCTCTATTTAGAGGTGATTTAAACAAATGTAAAAGTTATTAAAAACTAATTGTATGCCCATTCTTCCTTGAAACTAAGTTTGTTGATTTTTACTCAGATCTACATACTCTTAAGTACTCTTCAAAGACTGGCTTATGAGGGTATAGCTCAGGGGTAGAGCATTTGACTGCAAAGACTGGCTTATTTGTGCAACTTTGTGTCAGGTGTTAGTATACAAACGTTCTTTGTTATGATTATTTCATAGATTTAATCTCTCTGCTAATTTCTTATTATCCCTGCTCATTTTTCTTACGGTTCTGTCCTTTTCCATTATTGGGTACATGATGTTTGGGCACATGTAGAACCATCCTTTTATCTCCCCCCCCCCCCGTATCTACCCTATCATTCCTCCTTGTTATCCCACTCCACCAAAAACTAAATAAATAAATAAAGTAAAAATAGTCTATCTTCCCAGAAATTGATAGCAATGCTATGCAATTTCATTTGGTTTCAGTGGTATCCTTATATTGGCTGATGGATTGGTTGTTAGGCTTTTTCTATCGTGCTCTTCTAAGCTTTAACTACCTTATAGGAACAGTACTTCAATAACCTGTTTTCTCATGTTCATTTCATCTGCCCAGTTCAACGGAGACAAGTTGAGTTCTTTTTCTTTTTGCTGACTGCATTCTAGAAATTAATAGGTGGTAACTTATTATGGAGAATAATTAAAACTGATGGAACCTGGTTGAAGAAAACTCAGCATCCATTGATACCATGCAGAGAACAGTTTTAATCTACTGATCTCTGGACATTTTAGGTTAAAATAATATTGTAAGAGATATAATTAAGTATAAAAATAATATACCTAGTTTTATTGTCCATTGTAGCCACAGCAGTGCAGGAAGTAGTGTTCCTTATCTCTCACTCTATCACTTTCCTCTAAAGTCACATCAATGTATTTCAGGCACGTAATACACTGTGTTATCCTAGTTTTACAATAAAGTGATCTTATAGGGTCACATTTCATTATTATAAAATATAACCTTACTTAAGAAAAATGACTAGGTTTACGTAATCTGATAGGGAACCTAGTTAGATTGACACCAGGAATCACTTAGAATTGCACCCTCTACCGTTTCCAGGATGTTGGGTATAATGTATATTTACATTATGATACCAGTGATTTTAAAGATCCTTTCGAATTTTTTTGCTTACTAGAAAATCCCACCCCCTTAGGGAAAGACTATCTTTTTCATACCAAGGTTATTTTGCTTTGTAAACATATCTACTTTTGATAGTTTATCCCTCCTACGACGTTTCAAATTAGTCCTTCACTGTTCTTTTCCTCTTCTTTTTGTCCATTATTTCTGTTGCCTAGAATGATTTAATTATCATGGTCATAAAAGACTATAAAAAAGTTAAAATGTTTTTACTGTTTAAAACCTAAAACTCCATGAATAAAGAGCTCATGGCCATGTCAAGATAATTTGCCTTTTTGAGCATAGAACCCTAATTTTCCTTATTTGTTACTTTGGTCTTACCCTGAAAGCCATCTAAATTAAATTTTTTTCCATAAATTGATCTGGCCACTTTTTACCAGGCTTCAGAAAAATGTTTGTTTTAAGGATTTAAGAAAAAAAAATGAACTGCAGTGTTTATTAAATGTAGGAGAACTTTGTTTATAGAACAGAATCTTTATTCATATTTGGAAGACAGAACATTTTTATTTTTAAAATGTTTTATTTATTAAGTATTTTTTATTTTTTTAATTTATTTTTTTTTTCAAATAGTTTATTGTCAAGTTGGGTTCCATATAACATCCAGGGCTCATCCCCACAAGTGCCTTCCTCCATGCCCATCACCCCCCTCCCTCCCCACACCCATCAGTCCTCAGTTTGTTCTCAGCACTCAAAGAGTCTCTCATGGTTTGCCTCTCTCCCTTTCCCCCACCATTTCCCCCCTTCTTCTCCCCCTTGTTCCTCCGTTAAGTTCCTCCTAATCCTCCTATATGTGCAAACACATGATATTTGTCCTTCTCTGCCTGACTTATTTCACTCAGCATTACACCCTCAAGGTCCATTCATGTTGCTACACATGGCCAGATTTCATTCTTTCTCATGGAAGACAGAACATTTTAAATATATGTGAAAAGAAAGCAGTAATGCTGACCTTATGTATCATACTCAAATATATTCAAGTAATTTTTACTCATTTTTCTATTCTTGTCCATATAGTAATTTTCCAGGTTATTAAAGCATATCTTTTTGAGCAACATACCTTAAGACCTAACGCCCTCTAGGTCAGTGGTTTACAACCCTAGCATCATATTTTAATCATATGGAAATCTTTAAAAACAAACCTATGTGAGACTTGCTGCAGACAATTTAAATCAGAATCTTAGGAGGTAAACCCCAGGCTTTTTCAGAATTAGTATATTTTTGTGTGTGTTAGTATTTTACAAAATATTCTCAATGCATCCAGTGTTGAGAAGTGTTCTTAAACCTCTGTCATGCTCTGAATTCCGCCACAAAGTAAACACTCTAGCTGACTAGCACATAATAGGAACTCAACTCAAATTTTGATAAATAGGGGCACCTGGGTGGCTCAGTCCGCTAACCATCCGACTTCAACTCAGGTCATGATCTCATGGTTTGAGGGCTTCAGTCCCACATGGGGCTGTGTGCTGACAGCTCAGAGCCTGGAGCCTGCTTTGGATTCTGCGTCTCCCTCTCTCTGCCCCCCCCCCCCCGGCACTCTGTCTCTCTCAAAAATAAATAATCATAAAAAAAGTTAAAAAGGAAAAAAAAGAAATTTTGATAAATAAGTGAGTTTTAACCATGTTTGACCTCTTAAAATAGAGAGTTGTCTGCTCTTTAAGAGAGAATATATGAAACATGATTTAATTTTTTCTTGCTAAATCAAAGTCACAATTATGAACATAATTTATTTTTCTTTAATTCAGTGTATTAAAGTCTTTAAGGAACTATTCCCACAACTAATCATTATTGTGCCACTTTTGAGATCTATCAATGTACAAAGTATTCAAGTACCCCTGCTCTCTAGAAGCTGATGTTCTAGCAGTGATAGAATAACAATAAAAATAAATATATAAGATGTATACATAGCATGTTGGAAACTTAATAAGTGCTGTGACCAAAAAAAAAAAAAATACAGCGAAATACAGAAGTGTCAGGTACGAGAGGTTGGAATTTTAAATAGGGTAGTCCTCTCTGAGGTGACTGTGTGCAAAGACTTGAAGGAAGGGAGGGAAGGAGTGAGCCATGCAGTTACCTAGGGGAGAGCATTGGAAGTGCCGTCAGCTGGGGAAAGGCCCTGCAGGGGAGCATACCTGACATGTGTGAGGAACAGTTAGGAGTGGCTGGTGCGGAGTGGGCCAGAGGGAGAGCAGCAGAAGATCAGAAAGGCAAGGGAGGAGGCATGGTCATGTAGGGCGAGCAAATTTTTTAAGAATTAGCTTTTTCTGAGTGAAACGGAGAACTGTGGCAAGCTTTCAAACCCCAGAGAAGCTTTCTTAGACTTGGGCTTTAATTAAGCCATTTTAGCTCCTGTGTTGAGCAAACTTGGAGTTGGGGAATGCGGGGGTACGATAGAAGCAAAATAAGCAGTTGCGGTAATCTGAGAGAGATGGCTCTGACCAAGTGGTAAAGGACCAAGGTAGCTAAAAGCTTTTTCATGGATTAGATATTTATGATGTGAAAGAGAAATCAAAGATTACCTGAGGGTTTAGGCTGTTGAGACGGGTAGGATTGTTGATTTGCCTACACTGTTTTCAGGTGTTGGGTTTTTTTTTTTTTAACTTCAATATTAAGCTCTGATCTTTCATTTCTTCTTGATGTTATTGTGTCTGCCTCTAATTGCCCTCACGTCTTCTAGAGAATATTACTTTAGTTCACATTTCTCACAGACTAACAAATAGAAAAGTCTCTTATGTAAAATAAAGTGGTTGATTTAACAGAAGGCACACTGAGTGAGGTTCGGTTTCCTCTATTTAGGAATAAAGAGAAATCAGCCTGAATGCCAGCTCTTCTAATAGTTGGCTTCTCTGTGGAAACTGGCAACTTTCTTCTGGGATCACAGTGTATCCTGAATGATTATTTGCCAGAAGACTGAATCCCTTCATGAGAATTCACTTATATTTACAGTTTTCCTTTTTTTAAAAATCAGGCAAAAGAATGGACTCCAGCAGGAAAAGCAAAGAAAGAGAATCCTGCTAAGAAATTTTATTCTGAATCTGAGGAGGAAGAGGACTCTTCTGACAGCAGCAGTGACAGTGGTGGGGTTTATAATTTATTGAAAACCTTTGTTCCCTATAGCTTATATGCTCTGCCTCCAACAAAACATAAGGCCTAGTACATAATATTCGCCGAGTGGGTGTAAGTAAAATGTGCACTATTATGATAATGCCTTTCGTATACATATCACTGTTTAGCTTTAAAAGTGATTTCTAATCCTTCCTCATTTGACTAGCCTCTTAAACACCTAGCTAGTAAATGATAGAGTTGAAACAGAAACTAATGCTTTTCTGAATTCTAACCTGCACTGCCTGTTATATTCATAGCATATTGGAAAACATTGTATTATATTTGATAAGCCTTTAGTGGGGCCTTTAAAAGTAACTTTCTTTTGTAAAAATGTAAAGTTTATCTTAAATGTTGAGCAGTCTGTTCTTCATCCATTTTCTACTCTTTTATTTTAAAGTTAAAGTTAATAAATATCTGTGTATTATAGAGTCAAAGAGCTAAAATGATTAGGATAACAATATACAATGGAAAGAATATTAAGTAGGAAGGATTTAGAAGTACTGCATTTTAGCTTTGCCAACTGAATAAGGTACTTACCGTTCTCTTGTGTCTGATAAATGAAGAAGTAGATGTCCCTTCAGTACTAAAATTCTGTGAGCATTTGGCATAATGAAAAATAGATTGGAGTTACTTTTAATACTCTTTAACAATTTACCTCAGAGGCGAGCCTGGATGGCTCAGTCACTTAAGTGTCCAACTCTAGATTTGAGCTCGCGTCATGAAACTGCAATCCGTGGGTTTGAGCCCTGCATCAGGCTCTGTGCTCACAGGGCACAGCCTGCTTCAGATTCTCTCTCGCCCTTTGTCTCTGCCCCTCCCCTGCTTGTGAGTGTGCGCGTGCGCTCTCTGTCTTAAAATAAATATTAAAAAAAAAAATTTACCTGGGAATCATATCTGAGCCAAGATCAAATGACACCTTTTTCTTCTAAAACCTTTAGTCCTTGGCAGAACCAGAGCCCTTCACTATTACTTGGTCATCCATCACCTTTCTCTAAGGTAATTAATTCTCTTTGTCCTCTGTTTCCCCTATCCAAATCTCTATTTTCTGTATCCGATAAATTAATCTGTGATGCCTCACATCAAGCTAACAATGGAAAAAATACTTCAGTCTAGATTGTGAATGCCAAAACTAGAAGATTTCAGGAATGATGTAGACTATTGAGAAAGACCTATTTGAAAAGTGTATCATATAGATATTTGTCTACGTCCCCTTTATTCATAAGCTCATGTCTGTTGATAGGATAACTTTAAAAAAAAAAAAAGACTTTTAAGAAAATGTTTACTTAATATTTTTGTGTGAGAGAGAGAGCAAGCAGGCACATGTACAGGCAGGGGAGGGGCAGAAAAAAGGAGAAAGAGAATCCCAATCAGGCTCTCCCCGCCCCCTCCACCTCCCCACCCACCCTGTCAGCACATAACCCGAAGTGGGGCTTGATCTCACCAACTGTGCAGTCATGCCCTGAGCCAAAATCAAGAGTTGGATGCTCAACTGACCGAGACACCCAGGCATTTTTTGTTTTTATTTTCCAAGAGAGAGAAATACGTCAAATATGTCAAAATACATATTTGAAATATTCCATTAAGACTTTTCATGGGTTGATGTGAGCCATGTGGCAGCATTTCTGCTCTAGCTACTAGAGGAATACAGTGACTTTTCTCACTAGGAAGTATGACGTTATTTTCTTAGTGAGGAGGTCTGCTAGAGGATAAACAAATCTCCTGAGGGATTTTCCTAACCTGAAAATTTAAATAATGGTGTCTGAAGTGAACTAGACACTGATTCATGTTGAACTCCCATGTAATTAACATGAGAGAGTCACTTATATGCTGTCATTTCTTCTCAGTATTTATGGGGTAAGTCAGTTGTCTGAGTTAATGTATACATGTGCACAACTTTGATATTGCAACAAATTTATAACATCCTATTCAGGTTTGTAAAATTTGTAGACGCTGATGATAATGAGTGCCTTCCTGTGTGGCAGGCGCTATTGGGTTCTAATCACCTTTATATGTTTTAAATCGTTTAATCTTCACAACAGCTCTGTAAAGTAGCTAGTATTATTATCATCATTGTTGGAAAGGAAACCAAGACTGAGAGAGGTTGAATAATTTGCTCCATCTTTTAACTTTAACTTAAGTGGCAGAGCTAGGATTTGAACCCAGACATTCCAATTTGAAAGCCCATGCCTTTAACCATCAGCTGATATTCCAAAAGAATATAGATAATTTTAACTTTTCACCGTATGATACATGAATCAATCCTCATAAATTAGATATTATTTACTTATTGTAATATGTTCCTGTCTAAGGGCACTTCATCTGATAGATAATAGATGGGACAGCAGTGTGTCCTCTTATCTGGGCTACAGCTTTGCACCTATAATCATTTTAAATAGTAAAAAATGAGGCCTCATGTGTCAGATACACTATATGTATCACTTCTGTGAAGAGTCCTAGTGTACCACAATTTATACATAAAGCATTGAAATGTATACCTCTATAATGTAATTTTATCATTTGACCTATGGAAAGTTCTTATCCTAGCTAAAATAAGTAAAAACTTTTTCATTAGTAATTTTGCTTATTGCCTTTGAATTGAGAAATTTTTACAGATGATTCGAATGGCTCATTCCCCTCTCAAAATTATTCCTGGGAATATTCAGCTCTTGCCTTCTTCTCTAAATAAAACTTCTCAACAGTAGAGGAATGAAAAATTCTTTCTTTATTCTCATGTCATTCTTTCAAAAAAAAAAAAAGTTTTTGGGGCGCCTGGGTGGCTTAGTCGGTTAAGCGTCCGACTTTCGCTTAGGTCATGATCTCGCGGTTCGTGGGTTCGAGCCCCGCGTCGGGCTCTGTGCCGACTGCCAGCTCAAAGCCTAGAGCCTGTTTCAGTCTGTGACTCCCTCTCTCTCTGACCCTCCCCTGCTCACGCTGTCTCTCTCTCTGTCTCCTAGAAATCAATAAACATTTAAAAAAAGAAAAAAAAGTTTTTGCCCCAACTAGATTCTTAGGAATTTAAAAAGCAGGATTCTCTCACATTTGATCTACTTGATTCATCTCTTCTTTGCTTTTCCATACCCACCATCAGAATGCCTTCTCTGCGTGTCGGAGCTCCCCAAGCTCACCCTGCCGTA